GTGCAGCTACCAGGTATAGTACTTCAAGTTCCCTTTCCGTCAACCGCCCGACAACCTCTACACATGCACAGCAATCCACAGCTTTGAAGTCTCATTCGTGCTTTGAACTTGTATAGGTGTGTAAGAGGTATAGCAACATAGTATTTATACGGACCCAGGGTAGCTACAATTCTGTTCCCAGGTATGGCGCGCATGAGGCTTCAAAGCTGTGGTTTTCAAGCTAAATTCAGGGTGGCCTGAGACCAGGGTTTGCTGCCCTAAAACACTCTGTTCAGGCCACCTTGAAAATAAAGGTGTAGTTGGCACCTTGCCAGGTATATGAGAACCAATGGCAATAACAGTTGCTTCTGAGCCAGGCGTGTTGAGTTCACTAAGAGCTTCAGAGTTGAGTTAATATTGTCACCGCTTGCCCCTTGCCTTACTGATTGGCTAGTATCGTCCATGGACAAAAACCGCTGTACATCGTCACTCACGATCTCACAGAAAAAACGGCTTTAGTCAGTTCTCTGGTGTTTACTATCTCCAGAATATTCCTAGAATCAATCGATTTGGTACAACATGGACGTGGACCTCCCCCACAGAAGAAGTGCAAAGTCTTGGCAAGCTTGTTGTACCTCATACGAACCTCAAGCGGTCCTCTGGGGTCTTCTTCAAACTCTGCTACAACTGCGACCAGGTTGTAGAAGGCTCCATGAAAAAGGTCACTTGGAGTTCCGCTCGGTTCTTTCACCTCTGGGTGAGGTCATTCATAGGTCAACGTTCCCATCTCCCGCGCCCCGGCCGGCGCCAAGCGCATGAGCCCCCCATTGCCGGAGTCACCTGGAGCGGACGGCCGGAGTCAGAACCAAGGATCAGTCAGTCCGCATTGGGGTCATGAACTCGAAATTCTTGGGGATCCTCAAGTGCTTTTAAAGACGTTTGGATAGACATGTAACTTTCAAGAGGAAGAGAGACTTCCAATGTCCGAAGTTGGCCGTCACGAAACTACCCGCAATGAGACACCACACACGAAATACACACCAGAGGCCACGCAAAAGCTCTAATGTCTCCATTGACGTACTGATGAAGAAACCCAACAACAGCACTTTTGCGAATGGTGCCCACACTATCTCATGAATTTATAGACTAAACCTCCGAACCCCCTTCACGGACGGAACATGTTCACTCCTACTTCCCCTCACTCTCCACACGTGTTTGTCGCTCCCTGCTTTCTTTCAAGCCTTGCAGCACTGCCTCTTCTCTGATTGCTTCGACGCGCAGTTGTCGAAAAGGGGAAGCGCTGGCTTTCGTTTTGCAGCTTCTCAGGTTCAAAAGTATACAAACATGTGGGCAAGCTGGGCGTAAGCTGTGCGTAAGCTTAAGATTTTCACATGCATTTGGCGTCCATGACACCGCCCGAATGGAGGGCATTTAGTGACTGGCCAGCATACCGGCGTTGCAAGACAGTTCTCCTTCCTTTGAAACTTCTCCTTGAGATTTCTTGCAGAAAACGTTGGCACTTAAGCTGCGGCTTGTGGCTATGCAAATGCAATCAAACAAACATTTAGCGTAAGTGTATCGTAAGCTCCCCTGGCCCTAAAGCAAGCAAACACTGTGGTCGCGTAAGCACAGCATAAGTATGCAGCATAAGTACAGTACCAGCCTAAGCAGACCCTTACGAGCAGGAATTTCATTGGACCTTTTGGCCATCGAAACCGTTCAGTGTACATCCACGGGCTTAGTGCGAAAATCTCCAGTCAAGAACTTTCAGAGACCCACCTGAAGATGGATGGCCAATGTGATCGGAGAGATCCAAAGTGCACCTGGCAATGTTGTCAGGTACCAACGATGTGCTCTTATGTTTTTTGTGTGTTTTTTTACAAGCATTACAGGCCAGCGGTGGAAGACACTGGTTTTGGACAATTAAATTTTGGGTGGTCGTATCTTTTGCAGACTAGATTGCTTCAAGTATGTCATATATATATATATATATGTCTTATTACATACTGCCAGTTGTTGAAGTCGAGACATGTTTTTTCAAATAGCAGATAGAAGGTGATGAGCAAACCAGGAAGTCGATACACTATAGCGTTTCCTTGCAGGGTAGAGTGTGTTGGAAGATGTTTTCTAAATGCATGGTTTTATTCAATGGGCTTGTTTTACTCAGCGTTCACAGTGTTTTGATTGCACAAGACCTACCGCAAGGAAGTTGGCAGGCAACCCATAGGTTGTTTCTAGAGGTTTCTATAGGCAGCCCATAGGTTCCCCTTCATCTTGGGATTGTGGGTCTCATATCTCCAACCCCTGCAAGGGCTTATAGGGCCAACCCTCGGAAGCAGGGTCCTCATGGAAACCTGGCTTCCGCTGTGAAGCGGGCACACTATTGAGTGGCATGAACTTGTGCCAGATGAGGTGTGCCCTTGGGGGAAAGCTTGATTGGGCTACCTTCGCTGGTGCTGCCGGTCTGCTGCTGGTTTTCTGCTGCTGCTGCCTTGCTGCTGCTGGTTGGCTACTGCTGGCGGTTGGCTGCTGTTGATTTGCTGCTGGTTGGCTGCTGCTGCTGCTGGCTGATTGCTGCCGGTGCTGCTACTTGCTGCTTTGTTGCTGCTGGTGCTGCTGCTTGCTGCTTGCTGCTGCTTGTCGCTGCCGCTGCTGCGGCCTGGGCTACAAGGCCTACTCATTTGCTGCCTGTCATTGTCTTGCACGCCCTATGATGGTGTCCCAGCTTTTGATTGGTTGCCACAGCTGCATTGCAAGGACTTTGTGTTTGGGTGTTAGTGGGCAAACGTGTTCATCTCGCCCAATACCTCGCCCACATCTCGCCCTCTATCTCGCCCAACCCACCAGGCACCAGGACCTCCAGAGGTGTGCGATGGGGATTGCCATTGTCACAACACATATGTGTATATAAGCAAAGGCCTCTTCAATTTACATGGCCCCCCAGGCAGGGAGCGATTTGCAGGGTTCATGTTTTCAAGCGTTCATGTTCACATTTTTCGCAGGTGTGCCATGCGGAAGTGTGTCCTGCACAGTCGTTGAACGACAGGAACGCGCGCACACAGACCAAAGAAGGCAAAACGCAAGCTAACCATGGTTTTTTCGTGGTCTTAGCGTACTTCTGGCAGAGATCGGAAGCCGATGCGCCATGGGGACAATGTGGGATTTGCTCCTGTGATGTGGGATTGGTGAAAACGGTGTGCCATGGGATGATGTGGTTTCTAGCCTCTGCTGGTTGGGTGCTGCTGCTGCTCCTGCTGCTGCTGCGCTGCGCTGTTTTGCTGCTGGTGGTCGGCTGCTGCCAGTTGCTGCTGGTTTGCTGGCGCTGGTTGGCTACTGTACTGCTGGTTAGCTGCTGCTGGCTTGGTGCTGCCTGCTGTTTGGCTGCTGCTGGTTTGCTTCTGCCGGCTTGCTGCTGCTGTTTGGCCGCTGCTGGTTACCTTCTGCTGCTGTTGGGTTGTTGGTGTTGTTTTGCTGCTGGTTGGCTGCTGCCGCTGCCGCTGCCTGCGCTACAAAGCCTACTCATTTGCTGCTGGCTGTTGTTGCGCAAACCCTATCATTGCGGCAGTGTCCGGTTGTAAACTGGGCTTGGAAAGCATGGTTTTGGCTTAGATGGCCTGTTTGGTGAAGCGCGGTGTCCCATGCGAAAACTAAGTGACTCTGCCGTGACTTAGTCGTGGTGTGGTGTCACAATGTGATTTGCTTGCCGCAACTGCTTTGCAAGGACTTTCGTGTCTGGGTGGTTACCCTCGAGGTAGGAACTTAAAGGTGGTGCCAACATGTGGGTGGGAATCGGTGTGCCATGGGGGTTGGATCATTTCAGCCCATAGGAAACCTTAGAACCCATCAACGTGTAGAAGATTGAATCGCAATGGAATGGTGTAGGTTTAGAAACAATCTAGGCTAGGAGAAAAAGTGCTTGTTTCGAAGCGGTGTGCCATGGGGATTGGGAGAGGAATACACACAAGAATGCATAGATATTTTTGACATTTAAAGAACAATTCCATGCTGTTTGCACTCCAGGTAGAAACTTAAAGCTGGTACCAACATGTTGAATCGCAATGGAATAGTGTAGGTTTAGAAACAATCTAGGAGAAAAAGTGCTTGTTTCGAAGCGGTGTGTCATTTTGTCCAAATGGGGTAAGTTCTTACATTCGTGGGGTAAGCGGGTGTGCCATGCGGGTGGGTCAAGTTCATGTGCGATGGAGTAAGTTACCACGTCGGGTAGCTCTCCAAATTGCGTTGCCATTGGGATTTGCAGTTGAAGTTTTCTCTTTTTGGAAAGGCGAATCTGGAGAACCTTGTTCTGTATGTAGCGTTTACAATGGGGAAGGCCAGCAGTCTTGACTTAAGTACTGACTTTTGCAAATCGGCCTTCCATGGTGGTTTAGTATCCCACATGCAACATGTATTAACTTCAACGGGCACCAGTATTGGTTCTTGGACTCTCTGATGCGTTCCATGCTATAACAGCAGATGCATGTGATTGATGCACAGGTACCAGGTATGATGGGCACCTGAAAGATGCCTAAAAGATCCTAAAAGCGTAAGCAGATGTTACGCGAAAACGAACTCCTCCAAAAATAGGAGTGTCACAGATGTTGATGTTCCAGTTGCCTTCCTTGGTCAGGAAATCTCGAAATGGACTGATTTACTACTAAACCATTTTAGGGGGGCTACTCGAGTTACCAGCGAACTAGTGCCTCTCTGGAGAGAGGCCTTGTTGCCACGCGCTTGCATGGTATGTTCTCATATACAGTCCTGTAGCAGAGGTTCAATAAAGATTCGCACTCAATTGCAGGTTCAGTAAGCAAGATTCACCACTGGTGAATGGGCAGGTTGCTGGGGCAATGCTTCAGTTTAAATGACTTCAAAGTGCTCAGTCGCATGAATTTCAACGTTCAACGATTTTGCGTCCATGGCATTCCATGGCCATTGCCTACAGATTCCTATGCAGGTGATGGCCAGTCACGTGAATGCGCCCAAGGTGCAGCATCATGGCGTGTGGCCGGTGGGGTGCTGGTTTGTAGACAGTAGACGCCGTTCCTTTGGTCATCCTCTTGAGCCAAGGCGAGGGGTTTGTTTGGAGCCAAGGCGGTTCATTGGAGTCTCATGAAAGCAAGCTAGCTCAGCTCAGGCACTTCAGAGATCCTGACATTAGCACGAATGATATTCACAGAAGTCTTTGGCTGCTGAAGTGAACAAAGCAGGTGACAACACCTCCAAGATGATGGCTTGGATCATTATAGTATCAGTAGTCATGCTTCCCTGAACGGTCTCTTCGGGAGTCAGCCGCATATGGCGTTTGATATACCTTTCCTTTTGCATCTTTTTGCGCCTTGCCGTGACCCGTTGAACGCCCAAACACCGGGTGCGACGCGCCGAGGAATTGCCCGTGGGCTCGGCGGAAGATTGAACTCTTGGAGCCTCGGGTGGAAGACGCACAATCGCGGCACATCACGGCAGAAGGCGAACCGGCACATTGGGCCGAAGTGGTCAAAGCAACACGGCGATTGTCTCTACCGTATGTAGTCAATGGGATTGAAATATGCAATAAATCTGATTTGGTCTGGAAAGCCAATACTTGAGACTTTGACTTAAGTCATGCTTGGGTGCAAAAGAGCCTTTGTTGCGATGAGTTTGTGAATGACACACATTGCATGTAGCTCAGACCAATTTCTCTCTTTGGACCCTGTCAGGAGCCTTGCAAAACCTGGAAGATCGCTTTGCAACAGATGCAATGTTCGAAGAAGCCAAGGGCAAGTTTCAAGTGGCTTGACAGCAGATGTTCCTTCCTGGTCGGCATGTTTGGACCTCCGTTTGTGAGCGATGGTGACAGGGAGGCTTTGTGGATTCGTGTCGAAGTCACGAAAGCTAGCACCAGCTAGCTGGAGTTGTCCTTGCTTTAGCAAGTGAGGGGCTGGAATCCTCAGGATCGCCGCATCACGTGAAAACTTCATATGTAGGGGGGGGCCCCCCCCCCCCCCC